TCGTTATTGTTTTATTTACAACGTAATACTATATCTGATGTTTGAGCAGAATATTTATTTTTAATAAATTTTTATTAAATTTTTTCTATTTATTTAATTTTCATTCAATTAAAAAAATTTTCATTATAAATTTAGATGTTTAATTTACCAAACAACTTGTATAAATGTATTATAATAAAAATATATTCGTGCGTGCACATTCACACACCTGTAAAGTTAAAAAACATGTATGAGTATTGTAAATACTATAAATAATATTTACAATATATATTACAATTAAATTCTGTTTAATTTATTTGAGTAAAATCTGTATTGCAGAACAAGCGCTCCCAGGAGCCGTAGTAGCATGGATCTCGTGAACCTGACTCTCCGCTCTCTCAAATTGGGAGACGTGAAACCATCAAGAGAGAACTTCTTGCAAGTCGAGCGTGATAGTGTCACAGAGAGAAACGATACCATCGGAGAGCGAAGGTGCAGACTGAAGGAAAAGTCGCGCGATGAGCTTCGGATAATCAATTTGGCCGAGGTTGCCTGGCACGACACTCCTGACGACTGCTGGCTCGTGATCTACGATTACGTATACGATTGCACGGAATTCTTGAACAGTCACCCAGGCGGCCAGGATATTCTCCTAGAACATGCCGGACGAGATGCCACCTTGGCGTTCATTTCAACTGGTCACTCCGCCGTCGCTAGTGCAACCTTAGAAAGATACAAAATTGGTGAACTTCCGCCGAAAGAGAGACTTTTCCGCACTCCCAACGGTCTGAAGATCTCGGGATTTTAATCTGTTCAGATCATCGAAGATCGTCATCATCATCGTGACGTACTCAGGAAAAAATAAAATTTTACATGAAAAATAGAAACCGGCATATCAAACACTTTTATTTAATATTTCAGATTGATTGCGTTGAAAGTCCGATAACCATATCGGCACGGAATTATAATTTCTGAAATTAATACATTTAAATGAATATATATATAATAGTCCAACATCTTAACATTCAGACCGTAGTGACGCTTCGTATTTAAAGTAATGTTTCTAACATAATCTTATTTCCAATCTTATTACTTTTATTTAACTTTTTTGAAAAGTATGCTTGCTATACAGAAGATTCTACGAAAGTTAGTTATATTTGAATTATTGCCGGTGCTTCTATAAAAAAAAACATTGTCTTTTTCCCGAATTAGTCTTCTTTTTTCCAAGTCTTCTCATTTGATTTTATTTTAATTGATTAACACTGTAGATTTTATTATATTTCGTCAGCAGTGTTGTGATTGAAAAAATTAAATAATTTATTGTAATGTGCCGCCTATTTTTATATAATAATTTTTCCGCTTTTCAGTTTTCTACAACTGATCTTATTGTATTATCGATAGCAAGAGATACTTTTAAATAATCAAACTTAGACTGAACTTATGTAACACATAAAGTGTTATATCTAGGATTTTAAACAGAAAAGAGAAAATGGTTACATATCGATATGATTTTTATTTGTTTGTAACAAATCATAACGATAGTGATTTTTTTATCAGTATTTAAACTCGATACAATTATTACTACAATAATGCAAGCTACGTTATACATTAACTTGACAACGCTAAGCGATAAATTAGGTTTACTGTTCCTCTGTTTTTATTTATTACATCTACAATAGCGATCAAATTGCATAGTTTCAAATTCTTTCTCTTATTTCGCGTGCACGTGCCAAAGTACTTCCTACAATGTAAAAACGATAGAATTATTGGATCATGTGACAAAAATATATAGCTAATATCGAGCAACGTCTCGATATAATATTATCGCCCGTCTATCACGGCTAAAAAATAGTTTATGCGTCATTTTGTTCTTGAACTACAAAATGTACCAATTAAGGAAATAAATACGCAACGATAAGGAGTTAATTTTTATTTAGTTAAATGAGCCGCGAACATAATTAATTACATTTCTGCAATTAATCTTCGTGAGTAATTACTTGCAATGCAATAAGATTTTACAACTTCAAGTTATTATCGCAAATTAATGAGACGATATTAATTTTGTAACATGACGTCACTGATTATATATGTACAGTGGAATTTTCTTAACTTCAGTACTCTGTATAAACTTCATTATTCCTCTTCCATATATGTATATGACGTCGTGTAATATAAAATAAACATTTTCAGGATTAAAATAGCTTATGTTGCGTTGGCATCTGTGCAAAACGTTCTCACTCTATATATAATATATGCTATTTTTTTTTAATGCCTCCGCCCCTAATATAATAAGAATGAAGAGAACCTCCCTAATTTATCACAGCCTCGCGTAGTAGAGAGATTATGGAAATTCCACTGTATATACTGGACAAGATATTTGAAGAAAGATTTTTTGGTATCTAGACAAATATTACATTTTTCATGGAAAGTTACTTTATTATTACTGAAGATAATAAATATTTAAAATTCTTTCTCTCTTTTTATCTCTCTCTCTGTCGTGTATTTCGAAAGAAGTTTAAACTATTTCGAAGCTACATTTCTCAAAAGGGTTTCTATATCTTCATTCGATAAAATAAATGAAATAGAGGACCGGTGAAATAATAATCAGTGCTCAGAGAATAGAGAATACTTTACACTGGATACATTATATATATTTCTTAAAATCCTCTAACACACATTTATAATATACATAACATACAGTTTGAGGTAATATAGCGATATAGCTCGTTTGTAATATAATATGTTGTCGATAGACCGATATAATAAACTCTTCATTTCCTTTAGTCGGAAGGCAATATATCGTTCGTTTATTAAATTAGCAACGTACTCAGTTTATGCGTTAACTCTATATTTATCTAGAATTACACACATAACAGTACTCTTTACGATATTTACACTTAACCACAAAATGTACATATAAAATATATAATACGTTTTGTATGTATATGCGTGTATGTGTGCACATGCATGCGTTTAAGATAAAATAAAAAAAGGAGAAAAGAGATAAGTCTTATTAATGTGATTAGTATCATTCTCTCCCATGGCGAGCCGTCACTCCTTAGTTTTGCATATCTTAACATCTCGCCGATAGAAAAACGTTACAAAACTGATGGAAAAATTTCGATATAACGAGAATCTTCCCGTATATTAAATAGATTTTATGTTACATGCGGTGAGTTGCGATACGAAATATGCGATAGTCTATACACATCCCTCTCTCTAACTTTATACTATATAATTGAGTAACTAATTTTGCTCTCCATTCGATTTTTAACATTAAGATAGTTTGTTCATAATACATAAGATTCCCTCGTAATACATTTAATTTGAACTCAATAAGTGCACAAATTTCACATGTGACTAAAACTATATACTTTTTCTATTTTATTACGCCTATGATAGTGATACTAATGCGATACTTGCGCATTTTGATGCACATACATCGTCACGCTACGCTACGTTGATCAACACCAACTTTACATACTACTTTCTGTTTTGTATGTTGTTAGGACTGTGTCAAATAGCGAATGTCCACAGCATTCGCTTATTTATAAATTGTCTCTGCTAAATTCTAAATGACAGTTTGAAAGTGAGTATATAATATAAACAAAATGAAAACAGCTTCGCTAACAAGTTTTTTTTTACAGTTACTATCGTTATAATTATAAATCACAAAACAAAAAATATAGCGAAAATCATTTCGACATATCAGAGATTCTAATAAAAATGTTCGAAACAGTAATCATTCATCGCGGAGAAACAACATTTGTGTAGAAAAAATTCAATTCGATATTTAAATTAAATTTCTAACTTTTCATTTTATATAACATTGAATATCATGATTATTAAATCTCAAATTAAATTTTGTTTGCAGCAAAGTTTTTCCCAATTCAATAAAAATAAAATTCTGTTATTAATTTTCGCTTTTAGGATTTCATTCCACAAGGCTTTCTATTTTATAATATGTGACATAAACTGGATAAATTAGATTTAATATAAATTATAATTCTAGAAAATGAGAGTGTACGACTCAATATTTAATTTCTATTCTTTAAAATAATATTCAGCGTGAAAGAGTTCCTTCGGGTTTTTTTTTCTTTTGAAAAACATACAGACTAGAATCGCCGTCCAACGGAAAAATTCCACAGAGTTTGAAAAATTAAACCTGTGTGGCTTCAATATGTGATATTGTTTATTTGACCGTTATTTGTATCTGTAGAAGATTCGATCGTTTGTCTGAAAAGCTAGAAATTTCTCTTCGCTGATCCGAAAAAATGCTCGTTCATTATTCGTCGTTGTTCTTTGTGTGACCAAACGAAGCGGACAGCAAAATCGTATATCCGATCTATTGTATCTCAATTTTCTCTGATTGGTTTGGGTCATCAAGTTTCCCTCTTTCCTTTATGGGCACGTTAAAATAACGGAACTAGCTCTATGACATATTGTTGAAAATTCCGATTTCCTGTACTACGAACACAAAGCTTACTTTTTCATACATGTTCAACAGCCTCGTTGCTTACTGTATTTTTTTCAAGTAAAACGCTGAAAAATTTATTCGGCGTCAAATACTATCATCATCTGGAGAATGGAAATTGGATATCAAATTAAGAATCAAAACTCACCATTTAACGAGTTTTCTATGAAAAAAAGAATCTAAAGAATGCATATTTCTTCATTTGAAATAATTTTCATTCAAATTAAAATTTAGCTAACTTATCGCAATCTTCTTATAATTCATATAATAGAAAATGTTGCAAAATAGCTTAATTACATAGTAAATTCTTATTACTTTATTTTAAAAGTTATTTTTAATATCTATGTTTACGAACATATATATGTATTTCTTTGCTTCCTTTTTTTTAGTTGTCTATCAAAATTAAATAAAAAATTAACAGATATTTTGATCAGTAATAACTGATTATAAATGATGAATATGTCTAGATATTTAGCATAAAGTAATGTCTTTAGAAGAAGACTATGCCCACACAAAATGACATATATAAATGTAAAATATATGTGCGTGTTTAAAATGTGTGTATTTGATGTGAATATAAGTGTGTTCCCACTATACTTTAGTTGATACCACCATTGTGTGGACATGCCAATCAAAAAGGAAATTAGGCGATAGCTAGAATCCTTCTTCTAGAGACATCGATGTACAGAAGTACATAAAATTGTAATATCGATTGCATTCGAGAAATAATTATAGAGAATAGATACTTTCAAGTAGATACCGTTTAGAAATATCATTTGATACTTACATATTCACATATACTTATGAGGCAATGATACTTTACTATCAGGAATCGGAACTAATTATGAGGCTTTATTCATTAAATTCATAAAAGCACCGAGACGCGACATTACAACAACACTATATCTCGTTGCATACATGATTCGCGAATAGATTAATACGTCATATAACAATCCACGGTCAAGTGGTTTCGCAAACGCTTTCTTTGACACAGGTCAACTACCAAGGAAAACAGTCGCGAATGAACTCGATTGTGAATTGATGATAGTATCAACCTTCCTGCAATTTCCTGTTAAAGTGAAGTTGTTCGTCCTTTTACATCAAGCTGCAGAGAGCAAATCCTGGTCCAGAATCGAAAGCCGACTGCAATACCGTGGTTTCCATGCAAAATGCAGCATCCGTATACATTGCCGCAATTCGTTGTTGTTGCGCTCGACTTTCACTCTGCGATCTGCAAGCATATTTAAATTTTTCTGATTGGGAAATGTTTCTAGTAGTAACTAAAATTATTTAAAATAAAAAGATAGGTAGAATAAAATAAATAAACAGATAAACAAACAGTAAAAATTATTCTATTCTTTGAATTATATAATTTTGATTACACTCTCGAACATTTTTACTCGAGGAAAATGTGTGACACGTTTCAGAGAACTCTTGAAATTATTCTTGTCATTTTCCTCTTAATTTACTCGCGATTATAGCAAAGAAAAAAATGCAGAGAAGGAATCTCGGGACGCTCAGCATTTACATAATTGCTGCCTGTGCCATTTTTCTAAACCACTTTAAACCTGCTACTAGTTCTCAGCACCTCAAAATGTCTCGAGATAGCCAAGTACCTCCTTAGCCAAGCTAACTCCCGGCGGTGTCGTAGTCGCATATGGCCATCCCGGAAACTACGTGAATTATTCCGCGGCTCCGAGATACGAGACGTGACAGCCGAGGTCGGCTTTACAGCCTCTTCGACTACTCACCTGAGAGGCATTGCCCGCGCACGTCTCTGCACTCTGACCTGTACCCTCGGGACTGATTGTGAGTAGCCATCGTCTCTAGATTGTTGTCGTTGCTGTTGATGTTGATGCTGTACGCCACGCTCGCTTAGCGCCAGCTGCGTCAAATATTCGCGAAGCTCAGGTTGGCTGACCAAGAACTCACGCCGTGAGATACTCGAAGCCTGATTAGACGTCATCGTTGAGTCGGACCACGGTGGCGGAGGAGTATGTGAGCGTGATGTCATTGCGTTCTTGTGATAAAGATACTCCTCGTACGTCGGTGGCAGACCGTTCTGCAAAACGAAAATGTGCCTCATAATTAATAAAGAAAAGATACAAGACAAAATAATAAAAAGTTGCAAACACATACATGCTGAGAGATGAAAAAGGTACTAGCGTCTGTAAAAGCTTGCTATTCTAGACATTAACAATTGTAATAAATAATATTTTTAATGAATTAGGATTATCTTTTTTTGTTAAATTATTTTTTGTTAAATTATTTACTCAATATTTCGCATACAACCAATTATTTTTACAATTTTTGCAATTGCTCTATAGGTTTATAAATAATTCTTTTAAAATCTTACATTTTTAACGTACCATAGTACACAATAATGTACAGTTTCAAGCGAGAAATATGTTACACGAAAAATGCATGTGTTCAAAAAATTAAAAAAATTTTTTTAATTGCGCTCTATGTGAGAGGATATTTACAACGGTTTCATATATATAAAACCTGCTTTCGAGATAAGTAACTAGGACAAGGTCCGATATACAGAACATTTTGCAAATAGAAAGTACTGTTTTTTATGCCTGTCTCTTTGCTTCTAACAAGTTGTTTTATGTTTCAAAATATCGTCGTTAATGATCAATTACTGTAATCAGAAGCAATAAACGAAATTGAGTTATACTAATGAGGAATAACATTTTCATCCTCCTGCATTCCATTTTATTTAACAACGATCGTCATGAGAATAATCCTTGATTAATTAACAGAATTAATTAACAGTAATTTTAGAAATCTCGTACTGCTCGCGAGACCACATTAGGGTCACGTTACTCTAGCCGCAACTTCGATTCCCAGGTTGTAGTTACTTATCATTATGTTAGTGGTTTCGATACCTGATCTTTTGTGTTGTGTTTCAGATGCGAAACAATAATTTGTTATTTCGCGAAATAAAACTGTGGCTACGATCTATTTTAACTCAAGAAAAATAATGGACTTTGAGTCTGGTCTGATTCTTCAATTTTTATATAAAGCTTTGATATAATAGCTCTTTGATATAATCACAAGAATAATCGTGTTTGTTTAACATAATTAATGTTATTAATTTTAATAAAAAGTAAACTTTTTTTTGCAATTCACATAAATTCATCAATGGAAGCTCAAGTAACGAAATTAGCCGCGTAAATCAGTTCCACATTTTTCGTTATATCACGGTGAAAATTATAATAAAGCCGCGAACTGTTTAATGTTCTTCTTGAACGCGATTTGCAGCCATAGCATAAAATGCAGCGAAAAAACTTCTCTCGTTTCTCATCAGGCCGACTTTCCTTGCATATTATATCGTAAAAGCTTGCGGAAGCTTGCAAGCATACATCCTCTCCTTTTGCGTTTCTCGCAAAAGGTGTCGACTCTTGTTTAATCGTGTAATTGTAGCATAATGCTTTTGTATTTAATGCTTGTATTATGCTATTAAGATTTTACGAAGAAATGATTTTCGCAATTTTCACATTTATTTTATTAAACATTTTTATATGTTTAAAATTATGCTACATTTAAAAATTAAAAATTACCTTCTTTCTAAAAGACTAAAAATAATACCGACCATATATATATATATATATATATACATGTTTAGTCGCAAACATGTCACACACACGGTTTTTTAAATTTCTCTCTGTATCTAGGTATGATAAAAATATTAAGTTAGAAATCTTATACAATTTTGTACAATTTTATATATGCTTTAGTTTTTAAATAATTCAACAATTCTAAATACAACGTAATTATTTAAAAATAACTGTATATATATATATAAAGTTACAAATATTACACCAAAAAAGTAATTTCTAGAAAAGAAAGTTTATAAAACATTTTACGATCTCTCTCTCTCTCTCTCCCTCTCTCTCTATCTATCTATCTCTTATTAATATTAAATTTTATATTAAATATTTTCATATTATATATTCTATCGCTTTTATTGGTCGAAGAAGAAATGGAATTTATTAAATAATCAAGAAAACTCCAATCTATATTCAATTTCGGCTTCTAGCGTAAAAGGGATGAAAATTTAATAGGAAGAAATAGTACGGTTATCTACGTATATATGTTCATAGTAACATAGATGTCATCCACAAATGGAAACGTACGATGCACTTCTTTATATCCGCGAATCTACGCTTTATCGAACGTCATGAAACTTGGGCTATAAATATGTATCCCATCGCGAGAGATATTTTATGCTTTACGAAAATGAAACACATATCAAGGAAATTGTTGGTACTCCAATGGCACAACTGCGTTTCGTTCCAAGGATTATAATGAAACCTCGAATACGTCACTAGCAAATTGATCGAAAAATTTCTCTTTCTCCTCGTTGAAAAATTCCTCTTGATCTAGTCACGAAAATATTCGATATACGTACGAGAATAAAAGAGCCACGAGGTAGAATGAAACCGCAACGAGAATCAGAAAGTCTAACATCGAATTTCCTCAATCACTTTTGTCCTTCAATCGAGTAGGAGAGGACTTTTCGATTCTCGCTATCTTCGCTTTTGACGAAGTCAACTGCCGGCAACTATGATCTTCCACTCGACGAGGAGGAAGAGTGAAATTGAATTTCGGGATTATTATCTTGTGATTCCATTTTCCAACGTGAGACGAGCGTGGTTACCCTCAGGCGTTCGTTTAAGAGGATCGTCCAGAACCCCGTGGTTGCGTTTTTCCGTCCGTAGTAGCTTCGCTCCGGGGTGATTATGTTTCTCCTGAAAATGCTGTGCAAGGATTTCGACAAAACTGTCTTCAATTCTGCATATGATGCACGCGATTTTTCAGGATCAGGTGTTATGATGATAAATATTGTGTATCTTTTTCATCATCGCAGTTTGACTGGCAATTTTCGCTCGTTTTCGTTTTGCGGTCTTTTTATGATATCGTAATTTGCCTTCTCGTACTAATTTTCGCTCGTCTCATTTCTTCTCCCTTTTCGCAGGCAATCAAGCTCTTATCTATATATATATATATAGTTGGTTTTATTTCTCCATTACATTTATATATATATATATCTCTCCTCTCTTTCATCCATATCTCTCTCTCACACACACACACACACACACATTTTCAGTCTCTTGCAGCCGTAATCAACCTTCAGTCCCTCTTCATTATTTGCGCCGCTTGTATCATTTGGGCTAATTCACGCGATGATGTTAATACGGGAGCTAGCCTGCGAGAATATATAATATCTTACGTTCTCTAACTGCAGATTGCAGAGCAGTCTCGTGAAGCCTCGGAGTATTACATGTTACGTCTCCGCCTAAATATTCAAAACCGCCGTTCTTTAATGTAAACGCTTCGTCTCACAAAGACAGCTTAACTACGATTTCTCACCCACAACAACATATTGCGGCATGAAATTTTCAGTTCGCTGATAGGACGCTGCGTCTGCAACAAGTCGATTCGCAATCAGAATTGTAGAATTCAGTGAAACCTATTATCTAGTATCCGATATTTGATCAATAATTCATCCCTAACTGGAATCAATGTTCCGAAGTTCTCAGAACTTTCATTACGATCTTATGATAGAGAAAACTTCATTGGCAAAGGAAACCAAGTTTTCCCGAAAGTTCGCAAGGATAATAACACACGTCAGTTTGCCCGTAATTGCGTGAACCGAATCACCCCACTCGTTCGCTCGATAAAGGACTTTCTCGTCCCACGCGTCCAAGAGGGCACCTTTTTGCACCTTCTCGAGAGGAGATTCCTGATAAATGGGTGACTCCCGTGGACACAATGTAGCCCTCGCGGCCTCGCGAGAAAATAGTAAAGACAAGGCTGTTATTCAAATTAGAAGGTGCGAGTGCTTCGCACGTCTGCAGCTCATGAATGGAAACAGTTACTAAAGGACCTCGTGAAGTAAGCTCGAGAGCTCTCGAGAGAAAAGCCTACCGCTAACTCCTTTTTCTTTCTCCTTTTTCTAATCTCCTTTTTTTATTTGACCGCCATAGCGTTTTAATCTTTTGCGCACAATCGGTCGCGTTTTGTAAACGAAGATATTATTGGAGCCTCGAGAAACCTTGGATGCACGCAAAATTCATTTCATTAACTGAAATTGTATCGAGCGAAGGTATTAGTGAGAAAATTAATCGCAAAGTGCACGTAGAAAGTACTAGAGAGACGACGAAATATTATGAAATGCTTAAAACATATTCCTAGTGACGCTCATAAAGTAGCTCTTCCGAGAAATATCTAGCAGAAAATAATGTTCTCTTTCTTTTATATAAATGATCTAAAATCATAGTAATCATGGGTCGGCTAACGAGCAACTATAACTTGTCCCCCTTCTCCCTCCCCCTTTCTCTCTCTTTCTCTCTCTTTCTCTCTATTTACCTCTATCTCCCTCTTTTCCGTAAGATATATGATCCGCAATTACGGTCTCGAGGATGTTTTCCGAGAGTCTTCTTTTATCAGGCTACACAATTTAGCTGTGCGTACCGTAGTGAACTTCCCCAGGATGGTTTTGCATTTCATACGAGCAGTTTCCGAGCTTGCACTTGCTCGCTCGAGTGACACTGCTGCGCAACGTTCCAGATTGAGAACAATTTTAACTCTTTTTCACGATCTCCTTTGATGACCTTTTCATTTTGAAGCAGCCAAGTGCAAACAGAGTCTCCTCATTATTGCGAAACATATAAGAAGCCTGTTAAAAAATTTGTCACCGCGATTATTCCTCGACCTCGAGCTTTTTCAATAACATACACCAACGTTATTTGGACAAACCGAATAATATGCCGATCATTGTCATTTCATCACGCGCGCGCAAATAATAGCGATCTCTCCGTAACAATAAATATAAAAGAAAAACCGATGCGAGATAATCGTTGGAATTTTACTCCGATATTTTTTACTTCTAATATTTTGAAAAATAGTATTGTCACAAAAATCTCCCATGATCATTTATTATTCTTTTTTTATAAAGAGGATATTAATTTTAAAATGTAAGTAAAAAACAGTTTTATTCAATACATGGCGCTAACATACAATTGGACAATTCATGAAAGAATTCGACAAAATTATGTAATAAAAAAACTAATATTCTGCACTGAAAAATGTTACAATGTAGGTGCTAAACGTCACAAATTCGTAATCTTACTTTAAATAACTTAATAATTCGAGAGTTTAATATTAAAATAACAAGATAATCTGCTGAAAAGAAGATAATCATGTTAATTAATACTTCATATCAAAAAATAAATATATTATTAAATTATGTAGCCACGTAAACAAGATTATCTCCTTTCCGATAGATTAACATTTTAACATTAAATTCGTATTGCAGAAATTTTGAAAACAAGATTATTACGAATTTGTGAAGTTTAGCACCGATTTTTCGGTGCAGAATGTCAGTTTTTTGACTGTGACGATGACAACAACTACTACTTATAGCATAACACGACAGAAGAATTTATGTTCCAGTCGGCGCCGGAGAACTACACGCGAAATTGGGCAGCCAACCGAATTAGAATGGTCCTCGAGTTAAGAAGCCGTACATTGAATTTTCCTCCCTCTCTCTCTTCCACCTCGCTGTTCCTGTCGTAGTTGTTCGCCTCGATAAAGCAACTCCTCTTTGAGACGGTGAATCTCTTCGGAGGAACGTGACCGAAGCAAACTCGAACAATTGGGTCGCTGAAATTTAATGTACAGGCAGTGGATCGAACAGCACATGGAGTTAATTGCATTTTCAAGTACTATATCACCGTAAACTTCGTATCGATTGTTATTATTTATTGCTCATTTTTATGTTTTACAGATTAGGATTATTATATTAGGATTAATATAATATATTTACCAGGAAATGGAAGAATTACTTTTTCGTTACTTTTATAGTTACTTTTTATAATAACAATTTTTGATAATGTTGTTGCAATTTTTTATGACTGTAATAATGACTAACTATAATAAATGCCAAGATTACGCTGAAGTTAGGAAAATTACTTTGAAAATTAAATTGTCATCATTACGCGTTACTCATTAAAAAAAAGTAATAAGTAACGAGTAACACTGTAAAATTATAATTAAACTTTGTTACAAGTTATATTAAAAATTAATGATCGAGTTATAAAAATTGTGAGTTATATTTTCCAGTAACAAAAGATATTTCCAACCCGTAATAAGTAACTATTAACTGTTCCAACTCTGATGTTACATTATCATAAAAAATTCGCAACGTCATTATTAAATTGTTATTACAACAAAGTAACTAATAGTAACGATAGTTATAGTAACTATACATGTTATATAAATTGAAATATTTATTATTGGCCCTGTATAATAAAGTCAGGTAAAGAATGTACAAAAAAGAATTTCGTCATAGAACATGAACTTCGCTGTTTATTTGTTTTGTTTTATCGTATTTAAATAAATTGTGAAACAATAATCGTAGCAATATTAAATAATTATTTTATTTTTTCTGACCTTTTTCAATAAATTGAACGAAACATATTAAAGGCAGATATTAGACTTTTAAATTTAGCATTATTGAGATATTGCTTGTAATTTTCAGTATTTTACCAGAATAATACGGATGTAATAATAGGCGAACTTTGATATTTGAGAAAATCTCGAAAATGACCGTATTCTTTATAAGCTGATACGTGGCTTCGCATTGAACAAAATAAAAATAATGTAATATAAAGACTTTTTCCATAAAAAGGATTTGTCAATGAAATTCACAGACTAAATTCGCAGGTTTAAATTTTTTTAATGGTAACTAGGTTATTTTTATAGAAGCGCAGTACGACGTACGTATATTGATATTTCCGGTCTGTGAATATAAACTCGAATTCACCATGTACTGACACATGCACGTTAATGTCGAGAGCACGAACAAAATTTTTTACTGCGTCGTCACGGATCGATATTGCTCGTAAAGACTCATAGTATAGACATAATGCAATACATTGTTCACTGTAAAAAAAGTATAAAATATAGATTCAAACTTTTGAATATTTTGAAATTAATCTAGACTATTATGCCGTGACGGAATTGTTGCGTAAATTTGGACTGCGATAATTTTAAATGATCATAGCCACATGCACATGCGCGGAATCAGATTGATTTGGAAACGAAAGATGAAAAGGATGTTGCAACGTAACATATATGTTTCAACGTTATTTCCGCGTAATGCGTAGAATCATCAATCTTGATGTATGGTCAGTTACAATACATAATAAATTTTGCAAATAACATTTCTCGCATATGTATGTAAAATGTATGTAAGATATACATAAAACATGAGATATGAGCTGTCAACCCGTTGTATGTACAACTGAGGCTTATACAAGACGATAAACAGATTTTCGTAATTTATTCTGTACTCTGGTCCGTACAGTCGTCACACCGGACATTAAACTAGATTCAGATATTTCGAGGTGTTACGTTCATAACGCTATTAACGCTATATCAGGAACGTAGAAAAAAAATACATGCATATGTATTTTATTTGTACATGGAAAGAATAATTTTACTAAAATAAATAAAAATTTAGCTTATGAATACAGATCCGAAAATAATTTTGTTAAACTATCAAAATAATTGTGTAAGAAATTTAAGCCTTGAGGAGCAATGTTGCCAAAAATTCTGACACTCTAACAACCAGATTGAGTGTTTTAAATAATTATTTTGATAAAATCTAACAAAATTATTTTCTGTATGTGTAATTAAATTTTTAGATATTTAAACCTATCCTTTTCGTATATTAATTAAACCAAACCAATATTAGTTGTCGATACTAAAAGTACATATATTACTTATTATATAAAAGTATTTACCCGTATCTTGTTATTTTAAATGGTCAATAAAAACGCTCAATAGAAACGATATTAGTATTTGTAATTACGAAAATGGTCAATAAAAACAAAATGATGTCATTTGTCATTATAAAAATAACACAGTCTATTGCACAACAGAATAATATATGCATAGTAACTCATTATCTTATATACACGGAAACAAATGAATATCGATACGTAATTAAATAAACACATACCGCGCTAAATATTTTTGCATATATAAAATTGTATTTTCTTGAATACTGATTAATTATAAAAATGTATTTTATAATATGATTTTAATTTCGTTCTTTTTTTTTTACCTCGTTTGCAATTGTGTCGCAGTTTACTAAACATCGTCGTATTTAAAATAATTGTTCTTTTTCACAAAAACTACACAACCAATCTTGTAAAAGCTTAATATAGTAATTGCAATTCATGTTATTGCAGAATCGTGTTGTTTGCATAATGGCCGCGGGATCTATTGATATTTTGTTAATCGTAGTCGGTCGTCAACATCGACTAATTACTAATTGTAATTACTAATAACTCATTTGGTAACCCACAAAAGGCTAATTTGCGATTGTACCGGTCACGCACAAGATCGATTACAGTGCTCTAGTCTGAACGCGTCTCGTTTTGATTATTGATCTTCGGGACGCTTCGATGAAGGTGACTGATTGTTAGATCGCTGCCAATTTCCTCGTCATCTGCTCGTCACAGAATTGCGCAGCAGAATACACACCGAGTGACGTACGACATTCCTGCAAAAGCTATCGAGACCGCGTACCCTCAGTACGGAGCGATAATTCGTTTCGATAACTCGAGATATTACGTGATTGAATAACCGGCTTTATCGGACGGAACTAGCCGAAGCGAAGCGTGCCTGTATATCGTCGTTGATATGCTGCATGTGTCGCGATTGGACCGTTATATTAATGCGCCAGCAGTGCAGAGTATCTACGATTGCTGGAATTAATATTCCAGTTATATCGTTATATCATTTAAAGCACGCGGGAGACGATGACAATTTGTAACTATTGTCCTACCAGCTGTTATTGCTTTACGAGCGTTACGCTCTTACAAATGACCGAATGCCGATTGTGGCCATTGTAGAATATTGACCGCTGTCGGGAACTGCTGTCCGCTTGTACTGCTCTGAAACTGCATTGTACAACGGTAACTGCGCAATATTATCTTTGTTGAAATACTAGCTCGTCGAAAAAGTAGTTCGCAGGGAAGTAATAACGTAGAATTATTTATTAAGTCAGTGCCCCGAAAGAGATATAGTTGGCATTGTTTTTCAGAACACCACTTTGGATGACAGCAACGGCGCAGCGATCCTAAATCCGACGATCTCAAGAGTTCTCAATCTTATCAAGAGTGCGAGTGATGAGTCGAATAAACTGATACATCTTTACGTAGCACGGATCAAAAACCAGAAAACTCGATTAAAATGCCAATTGATAAAAGCTTGTGTAGATATTTAATTATATTTAATTTCTACAGGAATTTAATTTCTGCTATTTGGGACACATGACCGTGTAGAATTTTATGTAGGACGAGAGAGAGAGAGAGAGAGAGAGAAATATAAATAATAGATTTAATTACAATAAACGGTCTTAGTATTACGGATTAATATTAAAATATTTAAATTTAATTTATGAAGATGCTACTCATTGTTACGTTATTATCATATTATATTAAATTTAAATTAGGAGATAATAAATTCAATGCTGCTTTGCGTGTTGTGTACATATACATACATGTTTAATTTCGCGAAAATTAACTCGGATGTAATAATACAAACCAGAAATTGTTACGAGATGATTTACTATTGAATTTAACTCCAAGCGCTGTGAGAAATGTAGCAATATCATTAACGACGCTTCATTTATTTACTGTGAATTAACATCAAACGGAAAGAAAAACATATACAACATAACTAAACTGCGGTGAATCTCACCTGCCACGTTTTTGCAATTGCAACGTCGTACGTCGGCGGTGGCGACGTCATAGACGGAATTACGGAGTAAACAGGTTGCGATCTGCTCTGTGAATTTGGCCGACTCGTCCCACTTTCGTTGACGCTCGCATTTGGCGTATCTGGTATGGTGGCGTACAGCGCTTCCGGTATAGTATTTTCACGAATCCCACCGCCGAGGATACTCGAGCCCGAATCTACGTAATGTCGAAAACCAAAAATGCAATATTCTTTCTATCTTTTTCCCTAATCTTAGTGAACTTTTATCTATATATGTACTTTACATTTTCATCTATACTTGAATATTAGAGAAACAATAGTAACCGAATCTCTTGAGTTAAATAACATTTATTTTTAACTTCCATGTATGTATGTCAAAATATAAATCAATCCACATTTCTGAGATTAAGGTAAACAATGTCCACATGAACGCAATATTTGATAAATAATAAACTAATTTTTTGAGTCATATTTAATATACTTTCTTAAATTAAATTATTTAATTATATTTTTGTAATTAAATTAATAACATAATGAATAGAAATGGTGTTTTATAGAAATGATTAAAAATAACTCAAATTAAATCTAATTTAGAGGGCTATTTTGTAACTCTTAACGATTGTAACAAATTGCGCAGCAACCATGGACAAAACATGCGCGATAACACTGTGACACTACAATTACAATCACTAAGAATTACAGAATAGGCTATTAATATTATAAATTTAAGAGTGGCTACACATTTCGAAAATATCTATAATACCGCAAAATATGATAGATATTTAAAATAAATATTCTTTCGGCATTATGATAATATTAACGAAATTTGAACTTAATACGCGAACTGACTAACCGATATAAGTATAATGTGATTCAGCTCTATCGGCGCTTCGGGTCCTCCTCGAGTGAGTAAGCCGCTTTTCGTGCTTGCTGCTCTTCATCGTGGATCTCGAGGATTCAGTCACCATGCTGCTGCTTCCGGTCTCATTCGATGTTCGAGTCTTCGGTACTTGCCCTTCTTCGAGCTGTTTCCGCGAGCTCTTGCCCTCTGACTTGTTGCCCTTCGTCTTGGGCAAAAGGATGGCCAGCTTTCCCTGGCATTTCGGCAGACCCACGACTACGCCACAGGCACACACGTTCTCATTAGGCATCCTAGAAAAATCCAGACAGCATTTTAAAGAATTTATTCCGAGTGAAAAATTAGGAGCAATTAACTATTATGGACCAGACTGTTCGGATGAACTATAATTCGATGTTCTTCTTCGAAAAGATATCTTGCACAGGTCTATTAAAATTGTACAAAAATAATATTCTACAAGAAAGTACCAGAATATGTCAGAATGTAATTTATGAAACATCTCGTGAAGTATTCATTTTTCGAAGATCTTAACGCTTCCACTGTGAAGGATTGAATTGTATGAAAAAATCATACGATTTCATAAATAATATATGTTATTGGAACTTAACCACACTTTGTAACAGTCCCTTGCAATCCATTACAGTTGGCGCGCACTACAATCTGCCAAACAACGTTATCGACCTCGTGTGCTGCGCGCTATTATTAACGACCCTATAATAGCCCTTAATTGGAATCAGTTCGTAACGTTTATTCGTAATAGCGTCCCGCTCGGCATCGGTTCTCGCGTGACAAACGCGATTACGCGAGCTTGGGACGTACTCGCCGAGAAAAAAAGCGTGGCGAAACTTTTAACAGGTTCCATCCATTCGCCAGATTCAATTGACAAATTGAATTGTAAAAAATTCTGATAGGCAGAGCCCTTTGATTCGTAGAACGCATGCAGTTAGTTATATCGAGATTATCGTACATCGGAAAAGAGAAGGATTATAATTAAAAATTTGGAACTCTGCGATTGGTCTCAACTTCGGAATGCGATCGTCGCTGCATCCAAAAGAATCAAAGAAGTATACCTATCGTATTCCTTATGAGAATTTACTTGAGTCATTCTGTGCGCGGAATCTTTAATATCGTGATCCAATTCAAACTTTCCGGAATAAATCATCGATTTGCCAAATTTCGCGATGAGAAGCAGAGCGGGGACCTCTATGCTTCACGAAAGAAAAAGAGCGAGGAAGAGGGAGAAAATAAAGTCGTCCTTTTGATTCGACTTTTACCGAGGTGGAAAAAGAGAAGAAGGTTCCTTAATTCCCGAGAAAATCTTATTCCCCCTCACATTTGGAAAGTCACTTTTGAGAGAACGAAGTCAAGCAAGTTCGCGTCGGATCGCACAATCCGGTTTTATATCGTCGAAATGAACAATGCTTCTCAGTATCCTCGTCGGATTTCGTCCTCGAGCACTCTTATCCTCTCAAGATTAAAAGGACTGTCGCCTTCGCGTTTATTATCCTTCCGTTTCTTACCTTAACCACTTTCAGTGGAGTATTCGATTTAATCTTGTACTTTCATACTGGACTATCATCGGTATCACTTTAAAGGACAAATGAAATATTTTCTATAACATACTCTAGTTTATTAATACTTATATATACACACACACATATATATATATATATACACCAGGAGATTTATACACATTTGGATAAAAATAGAACAGAAAAAAATAGTACTGGAGACTGCAACGAATGAGACGAAGAGTGTCGAAATAGAGACAAACCATTTGAGATTAATAACAATCTTATTATTTTGTTTAATAATAATCTTGTTATTTTGTATAATATGATAAACCGTAGGCAGGCAGGATGTGATAATAGACTTGCTTTGACATTCGTGGCGCGTGCAAACATCCCGAGAATGCGTTCGCGCCTGGTAAAGTGACGCCCTGAGATAATTTCGGGTCTCGCCCAGTTTAGGCAGGGAGGGTCGAGCACGAGGCCAGAGCAGGGGAATCGCTACATGGAAATTGAATTACGTGCCCTGCTGCGAAATGAGCTGCCAGGGACCTTGGTTAGTTTCGACGACAAACTGCTCGCTACAGTACGCAGACCTTCCCATTACTCATCCCGCTGCTGAGACTCACCACAGAACTTCTTTCGTGCCTGACTTTAGACATATATATGTATTTCGACCCTGTTTCCCAAAGATACTACTTAATACGCCAGGATAACTTTTTAGGATGAACCAAGAATACAGAAAGAAGGAGAGTCTTTCTCCAAAAGCAGTCAACTTTTCTTTAACAAACGGATCGAGTAATCGATAGTTTTCTAAAGTATAACCACAGTTTACGAGCGCGTCTCTTTAGCTGAGTAAAAGTTTCATGAATACCGATAAAGCCTGAGAAATTTCCAAGCACGTAACGCGACGTGCCGTTTTATTGTGAGTCGCGTGGGCAATTTTGTGATAGGATATTTTTCCTCTGCAGATAATAAACGCTACGTTATTGGACCTACAACTCTGGGAAATTTATAGGCATATCTCGCATTTTTCTCTAAATATATACAAACATAAAATCTTGTATGTAAGTATGTGTCATATTGGACAATAAAATAGAGAGTAATTCCTAATAGACACATATTGTGTCTCACATATTCAATAAAGAATCATTAATCGATAAATGAGATTTTCGCGTTATGAATGTAAGAAATAGAAATGGGACGAGTCGATATTTATAATTAAAATCTTTGTCGAAAACATCAGCAAACGTAATGAAATATATCGCTGTCAGACGTATCTCCTTTTTGCTACGAAGCAATATAACGTTTAATTACAAAGATCCAAGAGTTGCCCTAGTTGTAATTAACGTCGCCGACATCTTCGATGCGGGTATGGGAATGACTCTTCCCAGCGGCAGTTATCGGGCTGCATTGATACCGGCGGAGACGAGAAATGGGCTTTTGAGCGATAATTATTACAATGCCGAGGCATACAACTCGTGTTCGGAACGGACAGCTGCGATTAAGGAAGGACTAGAAAAATGAATTTTCTCTTTCTGCCAGTAATATCAAACAAGAGAAATTCCACGAGCATTAGAAAAGTAATGTGGGATCACTTGATCTTTGCAAAATAAAAATTTGCGCTTAATGTACAAAGGGAGAAAATACAAGGTATAAAAAGAAACATGTATAAAAGAGAGAAACGGAAGTAATGCAATTCGAGAAGTGAATAGCCTTCTTGATGACTGAATAAAATGAAAATAATGAAATGGTGAAATGTAAAAAGTCGAAGGGCAAATAATAATCGTTTTATTAAATTGGGCATGTTTCATATTGACAATGAGCAATACACGAATTATACGGACTCTTTTACGTTTCTAATAAAACTTCATGGTGTGTCTTATAGGAAAATATTTGCGGTTTATTGCAATACAGACGCAATATCTGTTTTGGTTACCGTCTAACGTCAGATTAAAGGTGCGAGAACAGATAGAGTAACGAGAAATCGCGGTTCCCTCTTTAGAATTCCAGTCCTGAGTCCTGTGAGATTCGTCTTATCTACCCGTAGAAATTCTCGCGATTCCGCAAAATGTATACAGGAATCAGCGCAAGGTAGTCTCTCTCTTTGATAAGCGGCAGGATTAATTCGTTACGATGAGAGAGGAAGAAAAATAACACGCAGTGTTAGTAACGTCGACGTTAATTAATTTTGTCAAGAGCGTCTTCCACAGGACCTTTCATTTTTCGTGTCCGCTTGCGTAATCCGCCATGTGTAATTGACGCTCAACTATTAGCCCATCTGTTAAAAAATGCGATTAAACTGTTTAAATATTTGCAATATCCATAAATATTTGCGCGCAAATAACAATTTTACGAAGAATTACAACTATGTTATGATTATGGGAAATTTTACGTCATTGCATAATTTAAATTGTTATATTCATGTTCAGTTCATTGTTATGCTCATAGTTTAGTTTGTTGCTTGTTATTCACACGTTCACTGAATTATTTATCTTTACGCGGTAAATTTCTCTCACCTTGCTCATTATACGGAGAGAGAGAGAGAGAGAGAGAGAGAGAGAGAGAGAGAGAGAGGGAGAGAGGGGGGGGGGAGGAAGGGAGAGACAGTCTCGCAGTAAAATATTCATACATAAATAGATTGCGCGTTTTTGTTCCAACATTTTGTGTCTTTGGTACCAACGTCAGAGATCTCTCTAGTTGTGCGGGTTGCGCCCTCGAGCACGATGCGAACAAGAAATGTATCCATCGTAGATGAAGCCCGCACAGTTCATGAATTCTCTCATGATATTCCGCGCGTTAATACTCCCACATGAACAGTTGAAAGAATCGCATATCGTGTTAATTAAAGCCCGTGATGTAGTCTTCGGTGCTCTCGATGATGAGTCGTCTGTTTCGTAATTAATTGGCGAATACAGAGGCCGAAATCTGCCAATGAAAATTCAGTGCACGAATCTTCGCTCTTCGCATTAATGAACGCTCGGCACTCGTCTCGCGTGCCGATAATTAATACCGGACGAATCACATCTGTGAAATTGAAAATAAGCGATTTTCCTTTCTTCTTCTTTCCCCCTTCCTTTTTTTTATAATTTATACTAAACACAACGAAGGAGATTTTTTTCTTTCCGCGTTATATATTTCGCTTAACGCATTGTCTCTATTGTACCGTAGAATTTATGATCCACGGAGAACTCGACATGTTTCCGCGTTTCTTGCTTTTCTTCCTGTCAACGTTTGCAGTAATATGTATACAATTCACGTTGCCTAAACATGGGAAACATATCCACGTAACGACCATGTATTGTCGTTCTCATGATTTCGGTCGCGATCGATGTGCGAATCTCGATGTGCGAATCTCGATGTGCGACTCTCAATGTGCGCATTCGAAACGTCAGGAATTCTGTCAGCGACTGCTAATGAGATTGAACGTCGCTCCGGCAAAAAGCCAGAAGGGAGTAAAAGGGGTGTGGAATTGCGGTATCCGGTCTCGACGTGGCGCGTTGAATTTGACGTCGTCAAACGGCAGAGTGTAGGTGCCATTATTCGCTATTCTCCATCGCAAATATTTTGAATACTTGAGCTAAAAGAATCAATAAGCTGCTCCTACATCAGCATCTAAATTGCAAAACGATGCAACAGACCGGAGATGCGTTACCAAAATATTCATCCAGATTGTTCGACGAGGTGACGCGACGCGCGGCGATACGCGCGGGTGAATTGGGTCATCGTGAAATATAACATTTTTACGAGGATGTACGATGTGCATATATTCGAAAGGAGTTGCC